CGATGTGGGATGTTACAGACATAGTGTAATATGATATGTTGGTTTAGTCACACCCACTCTATTATTAAATTGTGATAATATTATGACTTATTGTGGGTGTACTAATTCCGCTGTAATATAAAACAAACTTGACATCAAATATGAGTTAAAATTATTCACATTGCAAACAAATTCGCTATTCATAAAACAATTTAAAAACTGAAAATTTCGAAACTAAGAAATGATTCCCACTTTGAGATTGAGAAATGTTTTCAAAAGGATACTTTCCCAAGTTCCGTATTTAAAATCGGATTTGTCTTTCAACCAAGGGTATGCATGCTGCCACGAGGATTGTGCTTTTGGATTGGATTTAGTCAGAGACCAAACGGATAAGGACATCGACAAACATAATTCTTGCTTATCTGGCTAATTCGCTACCTGATGAGTTTAATATCCTAACTTGTTATTTGGTTTAAGATGTTGAATATATACCAAGTTTTTTTGTGACTAAATTCAGAATTTATGTTACAGACTGATAAATGTAAATATTAAGACATTCGTGTCCATGAGATTATATTTTAGCCAACAATTTCTCAAACGAAAGCGATAGAATTAACTAACTAAAGTGTTTAAACAAGATGAGTTAGATTTTTGTTGCAGGTAAATCACACGATAGTGGTCACGAAAAACTGAAATGTCTATGTGAATCTTTTTAAATCCCAAAAAAGTGGACTGTTCTGACTTTGTCACCTATCCCCTTTAAACAAAAGTGTTTAAACAAGATGGGTACCAAATGTACCACTGATGGATGGGATGGAGAGCAATATATAACTTTGAAGCATTTTCCACGCTACTAGTTCCAAATAAATAAGAGTGAACTGCCAATTTAATACTTAAATTATCACCTAAGTAAAAATTAAGTCCCTCAACTATTTTTTTCAGAAAAATTAGTCATTGAATTATAAAAGTTTGCCAATTACATCTCTAATATTATATTTGAATCTACTATATTCAATTTTCCGTCAATTTAAGTCACGTTATTTGCATGTGATACACATTGGAGGGTAGATTGTAATTTTACATAAAAAAATAATGTATAGAGTTAACTTTGAAGGGTAAATTAGACGTTAAATTCGCTACATATATGAAATGTTAAGGGTTTATAGGCGAGAAAAGAACAATATTACACTTTAAAGTGTGTCATGTGACTTAAGTTGACAAAAAATGAGATAAAATAGCTTTGAATATAATAGTATGGATAAAATTAACAATTTTAATAAATTTAGAGACTTGTTTTACCTAATAAAAAAAATTATTTAAAAACAATTGTTACTGAAGTGAAAGTTCAAGAACTAAGTCGACGTCCAATAAATAAATATGAAATGTTAGGTTCAAGTCAGATAAGAGGTTGGAACATATGTAATATAAATATATAGGTTCCTAGAATTTCACGTGAATCTCTTCCTCAATAAAATACCATTTCACTTATTTAAGTAAAACGAGTTAAATCATTCGAGTCAGATCGGCGGTTGCACTGATCAGTTGGGTTTGACGAATTCTCGTTTGCAAAGAGGATATCTTGCTGTGTACTTATAGTTTTAACATTAATTTTCTTAAGCATGCAAAACAAATATTTGACGACAAAAAGTTCCCTACAACCAACCTAGTTAAGGATTTTGTTCTAATCAGTTATGACTACAGTATTGATTTTCATAAATTACGAGTTCGATATTAAATTATAAAAATTAATACATCATGTGATCTAATCTAAATATCACACCTCTTAATATATATTATCGTTATTTAACAAATATAATAGAGTAAATTGTAGCAATAGTCCCTTAACTAAAAATTCATTATCATTGGTCTCTCAACTCATCAAAATATGTAGCTATGGTCATTTTCGTCAACTTTGTCAGAATTTTGTCAAAATGAGTTATGTTAGAAGGACCATTGCTACAATTGGGGTCCCTCAAGTCATCAAAACGTGTAGCTATGGTCATTTTCGTCAACTTCATTATAATTTTGTCAAAATGAGTTATGTTTGAATGACCATTGCTACAATTTGATTAAAGTTGATGGACCATTTCTCCAATTGGGTTAAAGTTGAAGAACCATTTCTCCTGTTGAATTAAAGTTGAGGGACCAATGGTAATGAATTTTTAGTTGAGAAACCAATAGTAATAAATTTTTGGTTGAGAGACCATTACTCCAATTAAGTTAAAATTAAGGAACTATTACCACAATTTACTCAGAATAATAATAGAGTTTATTTTAACTCTAGTTTAATACATATATTTTTTTATTCAATAGTATCCAAACACTCCAAATTTAGAGATGCTGGATAGTCACAGTCATAGGATGCTGGCCAGAAATGTCCAACACCTGTGCTCAGTCGGCAAAAGAAGAATAAAAATGTATTCATATGATTTCATGTATGGACAATCGCCCACCTGCCTACCGTGGGAATTCAGATCTTCTTCGGTTCTTGTAATCTGAAGCCGAATTATGTAATTTGGGTCGTTGAGAGAGAGAATCTGGACTCTTAGTTTTTATGAGTTTGCTAATGAGAAAGTAAATTTTGAAATAAATGGTCCAGATTGTTACGTCGGTCGCCTCCCGACTTCGAGCGAGATCCAAGGATCTCGATTCCTACTGTAGTTGTTCGTAAAGTGTTTCATAAAAAAATTCAAAATTTTCTTGGAAAACCAGTTTCCACTCGAACCCTTCAAGACCGACGTGGGCCAAAATTCCATACTAAAATATTAACATTACCATAGCTGGTATTCCAGTGGTAAATGACGGATTAGGAAGCTTCCTTAAAACTAAAAACTGAAGGTTTCGAGTTCGAAATTCGTTGTTGGTGTGGAAGCCATACTTGTGGTTAGGGGAAGACTGAAATGCCTTTATGAGTTTTCCCGTCTCCTGAAAAGGAGTAGATAACTGTGACTTACCACTACTTGTCCCCTTTAAAAAATAATAATAATAAAAATAAAAATATACTACGTACAATGTATAGAAGACAATTATAAGTTAAATTACTTTAATGATAAAACAAATAAATTACTTTAATATTGTTTTTGTAATAGAAGATTGATTTACACGTCGACTAGGCGACTTTAAAATTCTAAAATAGACAATTGGATGGATTTTCTTGTAATTTAATCTATGTGTTCGTCTAGAAATAGACCAACAATTTATTTTGTGGTCATAAAATATGAACGCGAGTTCATATATAAGTTGATATGTAGTGATACTTTTTTTTGTTGTTGGAAGATATGTAGTGGTCCTAAACTTTGAAAAGATACCGTCCAGAAAAGTGGTTCAATGATTTTATTTATTTATTTATTTTTAGGTTTGATTTTGTGCATAATGAGTTTGATATTAATTTATATTATCTGATTATTATGTGATTTAACCTAAATCTTATGTCATTAGTGTAAATATATTATTGTATAAAAATAAACTTTAAAAGAGAAAAAATATCGACATAGATGAATTGATTAGAGTTGTGTGCTCACCATCTGCACTGAAATTCGAAAATTCTCCCCTTAATTTAAAATTACAAGCTCAATAAAATATAAAAACTCTAAAGATGAGAAAATAATATACATTTCAATCAATTCATGCATGAATTGATAGATTAGAGTATTTTCAAATAAGATGTCAAAATGCCCACATAAATTATAACAGTAATAAAACACTACATTAATATTCTCCAACTGAAATGCCAATTCCAATGTGGCGCTGACATAAATTGGCAGCAAAGAGGTTGCTGTCAAATTTGACAGCAGCTTCAAATATTTTTTTTATAGTAAAGGCTGAAACTGAAGGCAAATGAAGAAAGGTTAAGATCCTTTCCGGATCTTAACAGTCCAGATCCTTTCCGGATCTTAACAGTCCAGATCCCTGCGGATCAACCAGAAAGCAGCAGCCCCACTGCACACTACGTCGTCGCTTTGTTCCCCATCTTCCCATCTGCCGGAGATCCATTTGTTTGACATGAATTTGGGCTTGGGCATCGACTTGGCTCAATGGATCTCAATTCGGCACGGTTTCTGAAGAAGCAGCGGGACATCGACTTGGCTCAATGGGCATCGACTGGACGACGATCTTCGCCGGAGAAACAGTCGGGCATCTCCGCGAGACGTCGTTGACCCCGTTTGTTTGATTGTATTAGTGTCGGGTTTGAATTGTTAGTGAGGGACTTGCGGGAAGGAAGCCTTTCTTGGTGAGGTTGCATTTGATTTTATCAGCGTTAGGTTCGAATTGAGTGTGAGGGACTTGCGGGAGGGAAGCTTGCAGAGCTTCCATGGCTGAAGGTGTGAAGTGAAGAAATCCAGGGGTTTTGAAAGATGTTAAAATGGGTAATAAAATAATAGTTTAATAAAATAAAAGAAAAAAAATATATAATATTATATTAAATTTGACATACCGGTAGAGAGAAAAAATTTTAAAAATGTCAAAATATCACATAGGATGTCAAATTTAAATTTTATGTTTAAATTTTGACATCTCCTTTGGAGATGCTCTTAGAGTTACATGCTCTTTATTTGGCCCCAAATTTGAATTTTCTTGTATTTTAAATTATACTATAAACTATTATTTGTTTTCTTGTAAAAAATAATAGTACAAAATTAAATAAAATTAAAAAAACTCAAGGTTTAAAAAACCTATCACTAGTGATATTTTTTTTAACAAAAAATATTATCTACACTAAAGGAGTGGAAGAGTGGGTTAAGTTTCACAATAGACTAGCAATAATGTAGTTCAAATTTATTTTTAACGAGATTCGAACGTAAAATCTCTCATTGAAAAGAAATATAATTAAATCGTAGTACCAAATGATACTACTAATGATATTTTAACATGTGAATTAATTATACTGCACGCTTAATATTCAATACCACACAATAATTATACAGAAAAGACAGGCAAGATTTAGGCAAGACAAGTAAGAATAAGCCGTGTATATGATACGTTGTATAAAATCTAAAAATTGCCAGATTCCATATACCTTTGTTTGCTTTCTTTCTTTAAATAGCTTTTGATTTGTGAGTCCCCGACGACTACAAGATCGCATATTTACCCCCCAATTAAAGCTCATCCTGTAACTACAACTACACTGCACCAACACCAAAGACTCTCTCTCTCTCTCTCTCTCTATCTCTCCATTTCTTTTTGCATACTCTGCTCTCTTGTTGAACTTCAATCTCTGCAATTCCATTCCTGCCATGGCTAATATTCTCGCCCCAGGTTCGTTTAATCTTCCTTCCATGTTTTGATTATATATGATGTTTATGATCATGTTGGTACGTCCTGATTAAAATTGGGATTGCGATCCGTTTAGTATTTATATTAGGAGATTTCACATCTGGGTTCTTCGGGTTACTTTTGTTAGCTTAAAGATTGCAGATTTGCAGAAAAGATTGATGATTTCTGAATTCTTGGGCATTTCTTTGTATTGGGTTTCTGTATTTTTTATCCATCTTCCGCAGCAATCAATCTTTTTTCTTTACGTTTTTTATCGAATCCGTTTTTTTTGAAGTTTGCTTCGTATGGATTCACCGTGTATTTACACTGCGCATGTGTTTGGTAGTTGATCTGTGATCTGTTTGAAAAATCACATTTAAACAATAAAGAATTAGTCGGGTAACAGATGCTTTGTAAAGATGAACAATTTTTGTTTACTAAACATGCAGTTTTCGAGTTTCCGAATCACTTAATCTGTAGTTTAGTTTTACAGAATTGGATAAAAGAAGGTGAATTGATTCTAACATAGTCCCACTTGGAGCAACTGTGTGATTTTTAGCTTGCAGTATTGTTTTATTAATCGCATAGACGATAAGATAGTTTTTGTATTAATTAACTTTAAACATATTCCATGGCGGACTAGTACATATGCAACATCGTGGCGTGCATATAGCTTGTTGAACTTCTTTGCGGTTTGATTAATACTTCTTAAATGATGTGACTTCAGCTCTGGACAAAAAATTGGTTTTGCGTGAAGATTCTAAAGATGAATCATCGGATAAAAAAGGAGGGTCACAAGATGACAAGTCCCTGGTTGTTTGCTTCGGGGAAATGCTAATCGACTTTGTGCCCACAGTTAGTGGAGTTTCACTTGCTGAAGCATCTGCTTTTAAAAAAGCTCCTGGTGGTGCTCCTGCTAATGTCGCTGTTGGTGTTGCAAGACTGGGTGGTTCAGCAGGTTTCATAGGCAAGGTGAACTAGATTGTGTCCTCTTTTTTCTGGATGCTAGTTTCTAAGATAGTTTTAGGGTGGTGCTATCCACACAGCCCTCTCAATTTTCGGCCGGATTGAACGAATTGAGGAGGATCTAAAATTAACAGGTGGTGTGTGGATAGGACCACCCTAGTTTTATTGCTTTCTTCATTTGGCCTTCGTCTTTCTACCTGGGATTTCTGTTATGAAGAAGGATTTCTCTAGTAACATTTTGTTCCACATGTGTAAGATACGAAACATAGAAGGACGCATTCAACCTTTTTTACTGAAACTTCCCAACGGTTCAACTCTATGTTGACTTTGTTGAGCATGACGTGGTTCAAATATGCATCTTTCTCACATTTTGGATGTACCCCATTTCACAATCTCCAGAAATGTAAATCGAACAATATTTTCTCTCAGTTTCGGGGGACCTCTTTTACATCTGATATTTGCATTCGGAGTCCTCATTAGTTTTAAATTATATTTTGAACTAACTTCCTTCTCAAATCTGATAAGGACTGTATCTTCTTATGGAACCTAAGGGCTTTTAGTGGCTCCTGACATTGCATAGTCTTAAAGCTTCCAAAGTTTTCTTTTGAAGGGATATTTTAATGTGGGAGGCTCCTTGATTTAACTTATAAAAACTTGCGTTACAGGTAGGCGATGATGAATTTGGATACATGTTGTCTGACATTCTAAAACAAAACAATGTTGACAATTCTGGCGTTCGATTTGACCCCAATGCAAGAACTGCATTGGCTTTTGTTACACTCAGAGCTGACGGAGAGCGTGAATTCCTGTTTTTCCGTCATCCAAGTGCTGATATGCTTCTACGTGAATCAGAGCTTGACATAAATCTAATTAAGAAGGTGTGGCTTTCTTTTTCAATTTAATTGCAAAACAGTGCACACAAAATATGAAGCTTACCCATTTGTTGGAAACTGATTCAGATAATATTGACTGCAGGCAAAGATCTTCCATTATGGTTCAATTAGTTTGATTGATGAACCATGCAGGTCAACCCATCTAGCTGCTATGAAAATTGCCAAGGAGTCTGGTTGCATCCTTTCTTATGACCCAAATTTAAGATTGCCGTTGTGGCCGTCGGAAGATGCTGCACGGAAAGGCATAATGAGTATATGGGATCAAGCAGATATAATCAAGGTATGGTACCTGAAAATACAAAATTCATGTACGGAAGTTATTAGCTGTTGCGTAGTTGTAAATTTTCTGTTTGTATCTTTATCCTTGGTTCTCATCAGGTGTTTTCGTATGTCAAACTTGCAGATAAGCGAGGATGAAATTAGATTCCTGACTGGTGGTGATGATCCTTATGATGATAATGTGGTGTTAACGAAGCTTTTTCATCCCAATCTTAGACTGTTGGTAGTAACTGAGGGTTCAGAGGGTTGCAGATATTACACTCAGGTAGGTTTCTCATTTTTTTTTTCAGCATCTTTTGTCTCTTGTGGTAAAGAACTCACTTATCATCTTCTCGACTAAAATGGGTCGTTTTTAGAACAATCTTGTCATTGTCCCTTCTGCGTCATATAAGATAGCAACTGTAAAAGTTTGTCATCATATTGTTCTTTTATTTATTGGAATAAATGGGAACATTTACAAAGTCAGCGGTGTCAATACCACGCCATGATTTTATTGTTCAAGAGGCATCTATATTTTTGTTGAAGAAAATCAATTGAACACTCTGAATGTGATTTGCCTTTTAACTTCTCTATCAAAATGATTGATTATGAGAAAATTGACATCAACTAAATTTCTGTCAGAAATTTCACGGCCGGGTTGGTGGTGTTAAAGTTAAAGCTGTTGACACAACTGGTGCTGGTGATGCATTCGTCAGTGGGGTACTGGACAGCATAGCTTCTAACTTGAGTCTTTTTCAGGTAAGCATAGTTCTTCCCGGGATTGAGAAAAATCCATCCATGCATCTTCCGGTAGATTATTTTCCTAGTCACTCGAATTTGAATCTCATTCAGTCCTTGTATCGAAAATGTTCTGTTCAGAAGATTACAAAATTCTGTTTCCTCTAACAGAAAAAGAAACAATGTAATATTGTTCTTGTACGTAGTCTAGACTGTTGTATGTCTTCATTTTCGATCATCTACCAGCTTCTGTATAAATTTCCCGTGCAGGATGAGAAGGGGCTACGAGAAGCTCTACTCTTCGCAAATGCATGCGGTGCGCTCACAGTAACAGAAAGAGGAGCCATTCCTGCAATGCCGACGAGAGAAGCGGTGCTCCAGTGCTTAAAGCAGGCTGCTGAGAAAAACTAGACGACAATAGTCGGAATTCATGTATCAATCGTAGTGTAATTTGAGTGTTAATCTGAGTTTCTTTGCTGAGATACCATTGAGCTTGTTGCTCCTGGAGACCTCCCTGCTATATATTTTCGATTCAACCCCACCCTTCGGTTTATCTCGGAGGTGTCTGTGTCGTAGGGTACTGGTGGTTACTATGTAAACCACTGCCAATAAAAAATTTCAAGTTCAAATTGTCAGCATCGTAGCATTTCTGAGTGAACTTTTTGTTGCATACAATTCTTCTTTTCGTTTCTTAATATTGGGATGCCGGAAATTAAACACTCCTCGGTACAAGGGTGAATGCTCTAAATGTGTTGCGATGATAATGCTTTGCTTCACTTTTGCCGTAGCCAGATGACGAATTTTTTCTTGCAAAACAAGAGCCAATTTGTTTCATTTAGTTCTTAAGATTGACATAACTCTTATCTTTGGTGCATTAGATTTAAAATCGATAGAAGTGGTCTATGAGTTTGTCTATCGTCAATCATTTTGATTGTGGACAAACTCAGGGACCCTTCTATCAATTTCAAATTTTAGGGACTAAAGTAATCTCATGAACTACTTTGACTAAAATGTCATATTTTATGTTGTTTACTCGAGATTTCACATTTTCCTTAATTTTCTCAATTTAATCTAATTCGTCAGTTGAATTAAAGAGATTTGCCTCATCTGACAGGTTGGACTAACGTTATCGCAATGCAACTACAAGAACGATGGCGAAAATCCGAGTAAAAAATATTAGTGGAACTTAATCGATGTTAGTTGTGCACAAATTAGTTGGACTTTATAACCACCAAGTCAACGCATGTGATGTCGGCAGCAGCACATGATCTACCTACAATATCCAACGATCCACGGACGATGAAGTGGATCCAGATCACAGGGGCAGTTTAGACATTACATTTAATCTCGCGGGAATTGTGACCCGCACGTCCGAAACGACCTGAACCCGAACAATAATAAGCGCGCCGTATTAATCAATCAAAATCAAACAGTAATTAAGGAAATAAATAATCCAAATAAAAAGGATAATCACGTTTTTTGAAGAGAAAAGGAAGAAGAAAATGAGAGTTTGAATCAGAAGCCATTTGCTTTGGCTTGGGTTGCTCTTCTGATTCAAATTCCAGTTGAAAAAATGGCGTCGAATTCGAATTTGAATCCGTCGCTGCAGCCTGAGATCGGACCCGACTGGCCTTGCTCGCGAGGCTTCTGTCATCATCAACACTGAGAAGGTCTTTCTTTCTCTCCTCTCTCTCTCTCCCCCTCTAAATTTCTTGGTAATTTGTTGAATGTGTGTTGGTTGTGGCTTTTTTGTTGTTGCAGATAATCGAGAACGAACAGCTTCAATTAAGAAAGTAAGTGTATTTGATTTCAATGTACTGTATAATGATCGTTTTAGGGAATTATTATTGCTTTAATTGTGTGTTTAATCAGTAATGCAGTGAAATAGGGTTGCTGTAATCTATGAAATGAATCAGATGATCATTGAATTTTGAGTTTTGGTGATGTTTAGAAATGCAAATTGTTTGATGAACTAGCATCCGAGAAATCTGAGTACTTTAGGTATAAATTGCAAGTTAAGAGAGATTTATTGGTTTAGTACATTAATTGGATACAGCGGCAATGTGGAAGTGTTTGGTAATCGATTCGAGGATTTTACAAGTTGTGGTCAAGAGGCGTAGGAACTAGGAAGTCAACATATTGAAAATTGGAAGCTTTCTTCGATTATCTTTGGTCATTCGGGTTCACATGTTTTCGAGCCTCGAAAAGGGAAATGTAGTAGTGTTTGGTAATGCATACTTAGAGTTGGGGAGCTTGGGGAAAAGTTGAGTTTTGGATTCTGTCGTCTTTTATTCTTATACTTTAGTGCTTCTCGAGCTTGTTTGATTAGGCATTGCCTTACTGTAAGTGTCCTTGTTCAGTAAGATTCGGTGATTTATGATTTGAGACAATTGATTCGTTCAGATATATTGAAGAAAACTATTCTAAAATTCGTGATGTTGAACGAGAGCTGGCACAGTTGTCAATGGAGATGAAACTCACAGCTGGGCCAAAAAAATCAGGTTGCTGCATTATCATTGTTAGTTACTCTCGTTCTTTGATTTTATGATTTTTCCTCTTTTTTTGTATAACTGTCGATTGATTGCTTTTTTGCCTTTTACTTTGTGTGTATGGTGCATCTTTTGAAGCCCTTGAACATTTGAGGAAGAAAATAGAGATGTCAACGGAGAAAATTCATGCCGCCAAGCTGAAGGAAGAACAAGCACGAAAGGTTCGTCCCTTTTAATTATAGAAACGGATTTTCTTTATCCTTACATTGTAAAGTTCTGTTTGACATTCATAAATATTGAACAAAACTCTTTGCCTGTTTCCCAAGTGCTCACGAAAATTAGTACCATTTTCATTCTGCTTGGCCAAGATGACCTCGGATATTTAAAGCTCAAAGTTTTCAAATAAATTTGTCAATTTTTGTCTGATTATTGGTAAGCATATGATTGTATTGGGTGATGTGGTGGAGTTTCAAGTTGAAAAGTAAGCTTGTTAACTATTTAGACCTACCAAACATATTTTGTCAGGGATGGATGAAGACACATAATCAAGATTCATCGCAAAAATGGATAGAGATTGATGCCTGTATACACAGCCGAATATGGTTGGGTAAAATCATTTTAATTAGTGCATGAATGTTGTTCCTTATGTAGTCTGATAGCAGTTTGTTTTGATGTATTTCAGGTGTGGGAAGCAGCATTACAGGCTGTAAAGGACGAGGAAGCTATCAAGCAGCAGCTATGTGAAGACTTAAACCAACTGGTATATTTCTTTGTTACATGTGTCCTTGAGGAGGTTACAGACTTGACAAACTGTTTTGACACTATTGTTTCAACAGGTGCAAGAAAGCAGCAGTTCTCAGTTTACGAGACTGGAGGAGTTGAAAAGACGACTTGAAGCTATGAACCCAAGCAGATCATCAGCTTCCGTTTCTCATGTAAGTTCCCATTTTATTTACGACGATTATATTTAGAACATCTTGAACGGGTTGGATGGCATTGCAATCTGATATTAGTTATATTAGTTGGCGTAGATTTCATGGTTTTTAAGAATCAACTATTATACCACAGTTTACTCATGGCCCTCGTGTGTGCGTGTGTGTGTGTGTAATTCATCAGTATTCAAGGTAGTATTGCATCAGGCCTGTTTATCAGATGAAGAAAAGGTTATTTTCATTACGGTTTGAAAGATACCACATAGGAATCTAGGATATTACATTGGAAGTTTGGAGTAGATTTCATTAGAATCATTACTTCCACTCTCATGCCTTGAAATGGTTTGTCAGTAGACGTTCCCACACCAGTTTTTTCTTCCTTCTTCCAGCGGTACTATGGCTCCTTTTTCTATCCCTGCATTGTTTGAGCGAGGGTGATTAACCGCCATCCCTTACAATCGACCTGCAAAACAAGCACTTAGAGGCAATGACGAAATGAAAAAAAATTAAGAATCACCTCTATATAGCAAGATTGATCTTACATCCACACATCTAGCACAGGGTGTTCTGGCTCTCAAACGGTAAGATTTGAAGACTTATCCCCGGAAAGGAGAAGAGGATGGCCCCCGGGGGTGGTCAAGGGAGAGGACAAGCCTGGTAAGGAATTATTGTTTGGCCCGTTAGGAGAAACATTAAACCGCTTCTTTCCATGAACTATTACATGCAAGAAGCTACTCATACTTTTCGAATATCTTATACTTGGCAGCCAACTTGGGTAATTTTCAAATGCTTATATATGTATATCATAAAATTTAGTATGAAAATGTTAGTAGTTTGAGCTTGGAACTGTGTTTAGGATGAGAAATCAATGGGTCCAGATGCTCCTACAGTTCCGGGATCAAAAGAATCAGGTGGAGTCGCTCAAAACATCCCTAATCCAGGAAATGGTGGAAATGTTTCGGTCGTGAACAGGCACAATCAACAACCTCCGGTTGAGGGAGAAGGAAGGGGAAAGAAGAAAAGTCAGTTCCACGGAAGAGGGAAGGGACTTGGAGCTGTGTCCAAGGGTAGAGGACCTCCTCCGCCGGGATGGACAGGGGCAGGGTTTGATGCTTAGGAGTGTTATTCTCATTCAATTACTGGATATATTCTTTCGTCCATCTTTCTCCCTTGTATTCTTCAATTGTCTCTAGCATTTGATATGAGAAATGCAAGCTGACCTTTCTGACTTCTCGTTGCTTCATCGCACCCGTGTATATTACCAATATCGAGCAAGAATCAATCACGTAGACGTTAATTGTTCGTCTCTAAGCTAGACTAAGAAGAGGGGAGAATTTGAACCTTGAACGCAGTAGGTTAGACAATCCATCCCTTGTGATGAGTGATAATTTAGTTTGATTGAAGTAAGAGTTATACTTTTGACCAGTCACTCGTTTAGGACATTCAAGTCTCTTCACATGTGTGGAGGGTTATAATATATGTGAGTTAGGCGTTAATTACACATCTATTTTTATCTTCTATACAATCTTCTTAACTTTTGTCAATTGATTTTCTTCAATTTATTTGATCCGACGACTGAAAATTCATCTAACAAATGAGGGTAAACAACTTTTGAAATTATACTTAAATCTGACTGAGATTAATTTTTTCTACAAAAACACTTGGATCCTCTCCGAGGCAATACCTCGGGATCCTCCTGACCGGACAACACGGGCCGTTGGATTTTGATCCAACAACTACAAACAGGAGGATCCCTCTAAAAGTTATAATAATTGTAGCCATTGGATCAAAATCCAACGGTCTGTGTTGTCCTGATCATAAGGATCCCGAGGCATTGCCTCGGAGAGGATCCAATTCCAAAAAAAAAAACTTGTGTATAGGTGCCTAAGCCACGTTATTTTTGTAACATTTCCCTCAAAAGTATAGGACTGATTGTAGTTAGATTCCATCCAAACCACACGTAATCTTACTCGGTGTGAGGGTTGCCGTAACAAAACGAGCCTACCGAAAATCTTGTCCCAAGCTACAAGGAACATTGCTCCCACTTGCTAAGTATAGGACTGATTGCACAGTCGCGGGCCACCGTAGCCCGACCTTGTGTACGGTGACAATCATACGCCGAAAGACTAGCTGGGATGAAGATGTGTACTCACTACTCAGCAAGTTGGTCAAGAACCTGTGGTGTCATCAAATTTTCCATTTATTTTGGCATTAAGATCTTCTGGAAGTTAGGCCGCACTCCTTAAATTGCCGGCAACTCAAGTCACCATCATTAGGTTTCCAGTGCCATCAGCACTCTCTTATTATTTGTCTCGTCAAGAGAGTCGTTAATGTGAAGATTTGAAAGACAAAGTTTCGTGGGGAAAACAACGAAACTTTGCTAATAGAATTTTAACTTGATACGGTTAGATGTGGTGCACGAGTTCCCATGGAAATCACATTATTCATGCGTGAGGGTTCATCATGATCTGGTGGAGTAAATTGTTTTTACACGAAAACATAACGTTAGGTATGAACAAGTACTATACGTTTGTTTGTGACATTTTAATTTACTCTCTATCGCTATCTAATTTCTTGTAACAGTTATAGCATGTTCATTCCATGCAGAAGGGCACAGGCACTGTCTCGACTGATCCATCCAAACTTTAATAAATTGTGACCTCCATCGTCAGCCTGTCTCATGAGTCGGTCGTACCTTTTAGGGTTAAATATTTTCAAGGGTAATCCACACACTTGCCCTTAGAAAAATACAGATCCATAAGCTTCAAGTCTTTGCCCCCAAACAGTTCAAACATCATTTAATTGGATGCAGTCAAACCCTCAGATCTCCAACCCTATTTATCTGCATCACCAGGATCAATAATTAAACCACATATATATGTATGTATGTATGTATGTGTGTATATATATGTATATATGTGTGTATGTATGTATGTATGTATGTGTGTGTGTGTGTGTGTGTGTGTGTGTGTGTGTGTATATATATATGCAAATAGATCTCTATTTTATTCAAAAAATAGGGATTAGGTGTAGGGCTCACTCCACATAGAACTTTAATGATCTGAATCATCTATTTTTAAAGTCTCGATTCATATATCATCTTTACAAAAATTCAATTTAATTAAAAACCATTTGCCTATTTAATTACTAAGATAAAATTTCATTGTTTCTTATATAACAAATTATTCGTTAATTTCTTTGAACTGAATTAGATGTCTTAAACATTTCCGATTTGGCTAATATTTTTCAAGGATGATCTATGAGGTGCAACTTAAAAAATAAACTGTTTGAATCGTTAAAGTTCAATATGGTGTAAACCCCACAACTAATCTCCATTTTCATAAATAAAAAAAAAAAAAAAAATGAAAATCGCTTCCCTTAAAAATTTCATATATATATATATATATATATATATATATATATATCATATATGTGTCATTTGCATAGCATTTGATTTGAATTTCCCGCTCAGAATCTATATATTTGTATCACGCGCGTTTTAGCTCATTGCCACGATATGTTATGAGATCTCTACAGGGTATATGTAAGATTATTATTGGAAGCATTAAATGGCAACTAAATCCCTTATCATCCAAAGCTTTCTTTTTGTCAATGGTTGTGAGCGGTGTTGAATCCTGAATTCTAATATCAGGTGGTCTTCTCTCTTCCACCATCTGTTTAGACCGTTGTGTGGTCCTTGTAGGTCCTCACAAATGCTTCTTTGGATTTCTGGGTGATCCCAGTATCACCTGAGTCTATGAATGGGTCCGCCTCTTGTGAGGATTACCCTTATCATTTAGTTTGGAACCCTACCTACTAAATGACTAGCATGTTATAATAACTCTTCATCTGGATTTAAAAAAAAAAAATGCATAGGAATCTTCGCAGTTATGCCCCCATATAATCTTGATTATTGTGTTTTTACTTCCTCTAGCCTAGTTAATTAAGCTAAGTGTCCCTAGGTAGAATTAGAGGAGCAGAGAGTGGACGACTAAGTAGTGTTTGTTATAAAATTTGCAGTATGCCTCCCTTCCTCTGTCTAGCCCATACTGTTTTATTTAAGTCTGACGTAATAAGGCCATACTGGATTGACCGTGTGGTGGACAAACTTTTATCTGATAGACAATAATATTCTTTGAAGTTTAATGATTAATTAGATATCACTTAACAATAAAGTTTAGTGATATTTCTCTATATTTATAAGTGAAAAATATTAGGTTTAATTTATGTGTATGACGGATTTGATATCAAATTATTATAGCGATTTAGTATACACATAAGAGTTTGGTTGCATTGTGTGCATAGTTGAAATACTTTTCTTCGAAATATTTACAGATGCACTTTGTATATAAGTTGTGCATTTTTAAACACAATTCTTCTCTATATATAATTTATATAGGATATTACTTATACTCAACAACTCTGGTCTATAATTTGATCACAAAAACCTCTTTTAGCACGATAAAAATTAAGTGTCAATGAACCAAAGATATACTTGTATCTATATGCAGTAAAACACCATGATTTAGCTTTCAGAGAACGACTATGTTAAATAGACATTAATTAAAAGTGAAGACCAGAAAATTAGGGGTATGTGTATTTAAAAATTACGCATGAAATGCAACTGATCACAAGTTTTGGTTGACATATTAATTAACTTACAAGCTCGGACCCTATGATTTAAGAACCAAATCCTTTATAGATTCTCCTTGCATGTACCCTTTGCAATCCCAAATATAAACAAATTGACAAATGAATATAGAAAATCAAAAGTTTCAAACCCAAAATGTATGGATGGAAACTCAGTCCCCTACTAATTTTCAGTTAATAGTAATACAACTGAATACACCATATATGTAAATATTAACTTAATATTATAATTTATAAAATTGAATCTGTTGCAGAAAAAACAAATTGTACTTGTAAGTTTGAACTTTATATTATAAAAAATTTGAAATTAAAAGAAAGCAAATATACAAATTAGAAAAGGGTTGGAGAGAAGCGAATGGATTCCTCTGAGGGTCGTCTGCCAAGGTTGTCGGGCTGTCAAAACATTCAGCCTCCTCCTAGCTACCTTTTTACAGCTCCCAATCTGCCACGACCCCACAACCACAACCCCCCAACTAAAAACTATTCCCCGGACCGACAGCATCTCATCACGTGATCCACCCATGTGACCTCAGTCCTCTCCTCTGACCCTTCCTCCTGCATGCACCCCAAACCTTACCATGCTACGTTGCCGTTTTGGACTAAAATCATGGGGATGTAATACTCATAACAATAGGGACATAGCCGTTTCATGTATGAGAGTGTCCAAAATGTCCTTCTCTACCTCCCTAACAATCCCTTCTCCTTCTTCCTCAAATGCCATTTCGCTCTGCACCTTTGATTCCGGCAAGTCCTTGTCGATTAATGCATCGATGTCATCGAGAACTTGACAGTCAACAGATGGGAAGCTCTGAATTTTGTAGCACAAAATGTTGATCAAATGCGGCCCATTGATACGCATACCATTGCAATGTTCAAATTGAATATTATTCGAGCTCGTAACCCATGGCTTTAAGTTGATATAGGGTCTCAAAAATTCCACCAAAATTTCATCCACTAGGTGAAACACTAACTTTCTGTTCCACCTATGACCAAGCTGACTGGAAGACTCGTTTTTACCGCTAGTGGTGGTAATACTAGTGGTAGAGAAAGAGTGTTCGAGGTGGTAAAAAATGGAGGGGTCGAGGGGATGGGAAGGAGAGAACCAATTTGTGAAGGAGACTAGGGTGTCTTTATCGATGCCAGTACGGGCTATGATTCTTGTCACGTACAGGTGCAGCTCTGCCTCTGCTCCACCAGCACCGGTGGCTGATCTGATGGTGGTGCCGGTGTTACCGTTAGGAATGTCGCCGGTGGCGAGCACGTGGTGGGGCCGGGACACTTGTTGATGTTTGTAGTACGTTTGGCTCGTGGAACTAGATAACCGTGACAGCCTACGTTTCGATTGTTGGGCGTCAGATATTACTTCTTGTTGTGCTGCTCCTTTATTTGTGTAACACATTGCAACAAATAATAATAATAATAATAATAAGTTAAGAGAATAGACTCATAAAATGGTAAAAGTACTTCTATGCTTCTAGCTACCAAGAATAATATGCAAAATCGGCACAGATATGATCTTAATAAAATTTTGAACCTATAATCAAGGACGAATATGTAGCATGACTCTGTGATTAACCCATGTACTCGTGCATTAAAATAGTTTAAACCATCGACTGGGTAAAAAAGTCAGTTTGACAGGTTAGCCACTGCTATATATGAAGAAATTTTTCAATGTGATTGGAATACAGGTGGTACATCATGTGTTATTATATAAATGGTGTGATATATGTGTTAAAAAGTTAATAACTTAAAAAATACAATTTTTCACTACTTATATAAAAACACGTGGTATACCATTTATGTTCCGGTCACAATGAAAAATTTCTTCTATATATGATCAATTCTGACAAACTAATAATTTCAACTATCATCTTGGTAAAGAAAAGTCAGGTTGTTAAGACAATGTAACTAAGCCTTGCACCGGCATTAGAATAGTTTGGACTATCGATCTGATAAAGAAAAAAAGGGAGGAATATCTAGTAATGTGTCCGACGTGCATACCTGTTTTGGGGGAATTTTGGTAGCTGGAGGTGAAGGATTTTTCTTGACAGGAAGAAGGGTAGGGACATTGCTTGACAACAATAATTGGGTTTTCTTGCATTTCTTGTCACCTGGAATAATATGATTATTCTTGATGGCTCTTGTAGCCGCTGATGGACTCACGAATGCTTCTTCCTTCTGCTTATTCTTCATCCTTGGACCGTATCCAATATCATCTGCTAATTTTGGTCTACGCTTCTGAACTGAAGCAGTGTGGCTTTTCTGCTTCTGCTGCCGCTGTTCTTCTTTCAATGGCTGCAAAGGCTTTGGCTTTAGAGGTAAGGACGAGAGAGGTGATTTGGGTTTTGGAGGAAGGGCTTGAATTTGATCTTTGGGACCGTTGGTCTCCAAGAATCTGATCCTGGGAGAACAAGAAGCTGGAGTACTACTTCCTTCCTTGGCAAAAACACTTTTTGAAGCAGCAGAAGCATTAGCATTGGCAATGTTCTTGGATTTGAGTTGGAGAAGCAGCTCATCTCTGCCTTGCTTGTTGTTGTCTGTGTTGACGACTGATGGTCTGGAGGTGTTTGTGATGTCCAAACCAACTCTCCTACTCACACCTTCTCTCACCTGCTTCACAATTTGCCTAGCGTAGTGACTTGGGCTTTTCACGTTCTCATGATCCCCAAAATTAATCAGCTTTAAGTCCCTCCTTTTGTACGAAGACTTGGAAAAATCCAAGTCCTCAGAAACCCCAGCATTCTCCTTGTTGATTTGAAGCGAAAGCCGGTGGTGAAGATCAACGTCTGATCTTCTGGCTGATGATATCCTTGGAGTCTCAGGCAATGAGCGGGTTCCCTCCGCAGTGTCACTAGTGTTGACGACATGTCGTCTTGCTCTACCTTTGAGTGGTTTGCTGGCCTTTGAAATTTTTTTATGAGTGGTGGTGCTGGATGATGAAGTTGAAGAGGGTGAGTTGGTTTGGTCGGGAAGAAGGTCAAGACCCATTAGCCTTGCTACCAAACTTGGAGTCTTTGTCATGCCTGGTGAGCTAATATCTGATGAAAAATCAACTGAAGAAGTTCTTGCTTTGGTTGTTTTGATCTGCATACCCTTCTGGAATTTCAAAATCTGCAAACACACGAAGGGGGACCATTTCCATCATTGCTTTCATCATGACTTGCTTTTCCAAAGAAAAAAACGAAAAGGTAAACAAATTAAACAACTAAAATATATGTGTTACGAGTTGTTCTGTGACAAATGGAAGAACTTACTGGACTGTTTAAATTATCTTCTTCTTTTGTGATAGATAATAATGAAGTCCCTTCTGATGAATCCAAGCTGTTCCTAGGTGCTTCAACACCTAAAATAAATTCGGAAAACTTAATTATTGATAACTCACACATACGAGCGCTTGTAACTCAAGCGGTTAGGAGCATTGGTGGATGCACCTAGAGTTCTAAGTTGAAGCCCCCTCAGCAATAAAAGAACCAAACATGTGAGAGAGAGTGAGAGAGAGAGAGAGAGAGAGAGAGAGGACCTTTTGGTACAGTGAGATCTTCTGGGTGGAAAGAAGGTTGGTGGTGGTGGTGGTGGTGTAGGTTGGCAAGCTGAAGTTGGTGAAAGTCAAACAATTGAAAGACGGCACACATGCAACCAGAAGAGGTGGTGATGTCTTTTTCTGGAGGTCCTCCACCACCTCTACCTCTTTTGGAGGATTTTCCAGAACCCCAATACCACTCCCTCATTCCCATAACTAGTAAAAAAAGGAGAAAACTGCTTCTGGCTTTTCAACAGAAACTAGAAAGATTGATATGGTGGTCTATGGACGGATGAAAACCAATTGCTAGAGCTTCTCCAAAAATGGGAAAACAGGAATGAAATTATGAAAATGACAGAAGCTAGAAGCAGAATTAGTAGTACTAGTGCTAGTGTGTGTGTTGATGACTTTTGAACTGCAGAGAAAAAAGTAGGATTAGGACTGGTCACGGTTTGTGAGAGTTTGGAGTGGAAAAATAGCAGAAGAAAAGCTTGTGGGGATGCTGTGATCATTGATCATCAAGAAGAAGAGAGAAAAGCGGATCCATGAAAGCATAAACGCAGAGAGAGAGAGAGAGAGAGAGAGTTGTATTTGATTTGATGAAATTAATAAGCAGAGCAGTGTGAGTTTTTAACGTTTTAGGTATCTTTTCTCTCTCTGTCTTCCACACACTGCATTTTATCTCTTTTTATCTTAGTGGTTCATGACGCTCCTCACTCCCAAGCTTTTACCAGACCAAGAAAACTTCTTCTGGTCATCTCTCTCTCTCTCAGATACACATCGGGAAATGGAATTTTTTTTGGTCTGCAAAGAAATGAAGAAGATGACCATATGACCACGCACCCTCTCTGCTCTCTCCTTATATTCTGTCTCAATCTCTCGAAAGATTTTTCGGTGTATATACAACACCACAGCGTGATTTTTCCGTGTACACTAGTAGTTTAATAAACGATCGCAATATTAAAAGAATAATATTTGAATACTCAAAGATGAGCAAGACATCTTACTCAAAACTCTTAATATTTTAATCACAGAATTTTATGCTTATAATCAGAACCGTTCATACTCACATTGAAAGTATCATCTATGCAAAAAATAATTAAAACTAAAGTCATTTAGTCAATCTATTGTAGCAAATACATAAACGGTTTATAATGGTTTTACCAATACTGATCATTTGTTTTCAAACAGTTTGATGACTAAACGATCTTATATTTTTTATAAGGTGATTTATAATTTGAACGATTATGATTATAAACACAAGGTTCTATAAATTGACAATGAATAATTTTGAGAAATTTTGAATACGAGTTCCTACTTATCTTTGAATAGCCAATTATTATTCATATTATTAAAATGGTGACATGAAAAATCAGTCATCTCGCTCACCCATAATACAAAAATAGCTCAATAAGTCATGATCATAAGTTTGCTAGTACTCGTAAAAATATTTCCCGTCCTGATGATTTCTTATCTGTATATATATCTCTACATCTATTGCATATGTATATTTTATTCTTATGTGTCTGTCGCGCAGATGTATGTATGTGAGTAAGCTCAAATTAACAAGTGTCGAAACGATTTTTATATACGAGGTGGTGTCTTGGGGATCCGCGAGCATCTAAATCCAACCAGTTTTAATATTAAATGTATTTAGTTTAAGGACTTCTTTTTTTTTTTTTTTCAGTTTCCAGTATCGGTTACTAGAGTTTGATTTTAACTTGCTACCAATGGTTAAGATCACTACTCTTTTCTCTAACTCGGGTAGGGTTTAACTTAACCCAGGCCTGAAGGACAGTACCATAATGGGTCAAACTTAAAGCTAAAGGTGCCCTTGATTTCAAAAATTGAGTCCTCATCCTCACAACTAATTATAACTTTTGAAATTTTCACGACCTAAATGCTTGTTTTGTATGCAAGTTCAACAACTTTTTGGGTTTCTCTCCTTAATCTCTTGGGATCAATTAAACCACGACGTTAAGAAATGGATAATGTCAGAGGGCACGTTAATTAACTCTTAATTAATAATTCAATTATTAACAACCACATCATTTTGTTTAAATTTTTTGTCTCACTAGCATTACCCTTAAAAGAAATATAATGGATTGATCAGTGAGGGAAAGAGTTAAGTTGAGTTTCCATAATACAATTAATTGACAATATAAGAAGTAGTATAATTCCTTATGAACTAGCCTGCATAGTTTGGATCCTCACCAATGTGGGACTTTGTCCTTCCATTTCACACGCCCCTCTCAAGTATGACAAGGATTTTTCAAGCCTAACATGTGGTAATATGGGGAATAACTTTACTCACTGATAAACCGTTGCATAGTTTGGATCCTTACCGATGTAGGACTTCGTCCTCACATTCTCACAAGAGTGGACACGTAGTGATAATGTCTAATTGTATTATTAGTTTTTGAATTTGGAATCAGTTTCACAATATTTCTTTTAAATATCGCGTCACATTAGAAAGAATTGAATCTTAAATTTGTCCTTATCTTTTAGTCAAATGCACATTCATAAAAACAGTAAACTTATTTAATCGTAACCCATTACTCTATTGTCTCTCGATTACTTGAGTCAACCCTAAAGCTTGTATTGCTTAACTTCCTTTGACACTGCACTCTAAATATAAACCCATTGTTTACTCATATTCTTATTCCAATAATATCGATGTTTAGAGAAATTCTTACGTAGCACTAATGTACTGGCACTTATAATATGGTTACACATGATGATATAGAAGGGAGTGCACTAATTTTTCGTTAATTTCTTGAGCCAGTACATCATTTATGTGAATGGATTTCCTATAGGATTTGTATTTTTCTTTTGGGAGAATGAGCTCATTCTTCTCTTATGAATAATATATCTTGATTGTATTAATTTAGCGATTGAAATCGTTCAATTTGTTACTTTTTATTTGTAGATCATTCTTACAAAAAATCATTTGAATTGGTGATCATTTAGTCATTCAAATGTATAAAATAAACTAATGATGTAGATACCAAACAATGCACACCATAAATATAGTAATTATGAACACTGAATCGATTGTCAGTTTCATCACATTTTGTAACATTTCTAATTCTTAAAATCTATTTCATGAGAGACTGAAGAACCAGAAAGAATGAAAAAACAAGAAAATTCAATTTGATTTCTGTTGAACATATCCAATTCATAGTATAACAGAGTCACAGACTAATTAGCAGGTGTACGGTGATCCATATATCATACTCATACTGCCGTAATTTCAGACAAAAACAAGGCAGTTTAAATTTCATATATGGAAAGTTTTTGGCCAATTTTTACCTTTTCATACATATGCCATGCTAAGTTTAGTTTGTGCACAAGAAGTACAGAGACCCCATCTATGATAATACACCAAATTAAATTCCTTTAAATTTAAAATCATGCAACTGAATTATACATTTGTTGGACCCATCACGTTATATGTAACAGCTGGCTAGCTACCTGCATCATCTATCTAAAAGTTATAGAAGGTATGAGATGTACTAGCACATTAAACGATTGAATTTGTATAACTAAATTTTGACAATCTCAATTTAATTTATTGACTTTTTATTAGATGACTGAATTTATCTGATTAAATTTTGATAATTGATCTGAATTTAATCGTTTAAACACCAGTATATGTCGGCGTAAAAACAACCTCATCTCTCTCCCAACATGGGAAGGCTGTCGAGGACAATTGGACAAAAAAAACCATGCCATGCATGGACCCCAAAACTGTGCATGGATCCCACTTGATTGAGATTTTTCGGTGCCCTAAGTAGGACCTAGAGACAGGCCAGACCAGGCCAGAGCGTCTGAAGATCATATGCATTTGGGTACCACAGAAGCATGGAGTGAGCATTCTCATCGGATTCTTATTGTGAGAATCTCATGATCTTCTAATCATATTCATTTATCGTACATCATGCGGTTAGTTTTTATCAGGTACTGTTTTTATTCAATTTTAAATAAAAGAATTTACAATAATTTCTGACCACACAATATATGATGAACGGATGTGATTTGAAGATTTCTGAAATCCTCACAAAGAGGATCAGGTGAGGATCCTCACTCCCTTAAAACCTCAAATGCTTCTATTCTTTCCTCGACATGACACTTTTGCCTTTTTTACGTTACTGGGATTTAAGTTGTTTGAAGAGGAAGGGAACTGAAAAATATGGTAGAAATTATATGCCCTACCCAATTATTAGAAGTTGAAGAGTAGAGCTCTATAAAGATGCACAAGTTTTATCTTCTAGTTAAGCAATACCTAAGTGCTAATAAAAAAAAACAATAAATTAATCTAACGAATGTATAAAAAAAAATATTAGTTAACTTGAGTCGGTCCTCAGATTTTAAGAATACATGTAAAATGTATTAAGAGGTACCAATTTTCACACTCCATCCTCATCCTTAGTGATCAATATATTAAAACACATCAACCTGAATATAATTAACAAATGAATTAGGACAATTTCAGGTTTGGGAAGGACATGGTCACATGATTAACACAATGATATATAGTATATGAGTTTTGAAATTTTTTTTTTTTTTTTATCATTTTTCAAACTTTAAGAATCTTTTATTACCTTATCCTCTATCCATCTAATTTTTGGGAAGGACATGGTCACATGATTAACACAATGATATATAGTATATGAGTTTTGAAATTTTTTTTTATCATTTTTCAAACTTTAAGAATCTTTTATTACCTTATCCTCTATCCATCTAATTTTTATAAGAGTATCAAATAAAGGAATTAGGTCATCTGATTCAGATTTTGTGCAAAACTTGGCAGATTCCTCCCTACATCATATTCCTGACGACTTACATTTGCTATAAATTGAATATATCAGAGACATAGACAGAGAGAGAATTCAAATTTAAAGTGGTCCTGTCCCGGAAAAATAAAAATACAATAAAACAACTGGGTACCTGTCATATTTAACCCAGCAAAAAGGGAAATAACCAAATTCATTGCCTCCTAGCTTATGACCATCAACTACGTACTTAATTTGTATATATTTTCTAAACTGGGTTTAAACGCAAAAAAGGTTCAAAAAAATAAAAATAAAAAACACCAGGAGACAGCGAAGAACGCCGAAAAAACAGTACACATGCATGGCTAATAGAACGGAAAGGGAGAAGAGAGAAAGCATTAAAGGGTGGGGATGCCGCCGCCCCAACCCAAGAAAGGAGTTTTTTTTTTTTTTTTTAAATATTTTTTTTAAGGAAACGATAGTAGGATTTTATTCATAGAGGAACAAACATTACAAGGGAAAAGCCATCAAGGCTGAGGAGCTTCCTCAGTACTTAAAAGCCGAAGAAAGGAGTTGACCGCTCTGAGAAGGGATTTTAGGTTTTTGCTGTGCGAGAGATAAAAAGATGATTACCAACTAAACTAATGCTATTATTAGGGTTCCTATAGAGAGAAAAGAAGAAGAATCAATAATTGAAGATAGGAAAACAAGGAGAATAATTTTATGATAGAGACGTTGATAAAGAGAGAGGTCCCATAACATTTTTAACTTTTTGTGCACGCTAAAATCATGTTGCAGGTATCCATTATTTAGAGAGATAAGAGGAATAGAGAATAAAAATTCGACCTAAGTAAAGATATGAATTTTACGTTCATACAACTTTGAATTTCTTTCCTTGTTACAGTATTTGTATATGGGATTGCAAAGCTATCCCCCCCCCAAAAAAAAAAAAAAAAAAAAAAAAAAGAACCCATCTTGATTGTAAGGGCCTACGGGACAAGTTTGGGTCAGCCCAAATTATACAAACGCGTTGATATTTATAATAAATTGATATCTAACGCAGTGGAAACAATAAT